AAAGGAGGGAGAGTTGGGTACCTTGTGGATCCTCTTGAGGCCTCGTATGGGGTCTCTTGGGAGCCTCTTGGAGGCCTCTTGGGGCCGTCTGGGCGCCTCTTGGGGCTCTCTTGGGGCGTTTTGGGAGCTTGAGGGGCGCTCTTGGCCATCTTGGAGGACATGGATCAAAGAAGAGGGGAGCTTCAATCAGGGCCCCCCCTCGGGAACCACAGACATCGTCTCTTGGTGCGCTCTTGGGGCGCTCTAGAAGCGCTCTTGGGGCCGTCTTGGGCCTCTCTTGGGCCTCTCCTGGGGCGCTCTTAGGCCATGTTGGAGCCGTCTTGAGGCCTCGGACGGCCATCGGACGCGAAAAGGCGAGAAACCACACATCATTGATTTTCACTCAGTTTTTGACGGATTTGGGTCTCTTGAGGAGCTCCTTGGTGGTCTCGGAGGCCTCTGGGAACCGTCTTGGAGCGTTCATGCGGCTGCTTGGAGCATCTTGAAAGCCATTTGGAGGTATCTTGCGCTATCTTGAGCCATCTTGAGGTCATTTTGGGCTTTCCGAGGCCCTCTTGGAGTCGTCTTGGGCCATCTTGGACGCTCCAGCGCCGCGCCGCCCCCCCCCGTCCAGGTCCAGGGGATGGGGGTGGGGAGGAGGGGTAAACCTCCCCCCGAAGGGGAAGAAGGGGGTTGGAAGAGGAAATTCCCTAGACCACCTACCCCTAGAGGGCTGGTGGAATTCGAGAAACGACGCCCTGGTGGTTCGATTTCGAAATGGCGCTCCCCGCCCAGGACTTCCTCGAACATAGAGGTCGGCACTTCTTTTGCTCGAATTCGCAATGGCGCTCCTGCCGAAGACTTGTCTTGGTGGAAGCACGAAACGGGTCAAGCTTTCGGAGCGCCGATGTGGAATTTCAAGCCGCCCATGGTTGACCTGCCTCTGGTCGATCTGGAAAGTGGCGCGTTCCCTCGCCGGTCGATGTATCGCCGCCGTCTTCGCCGTCGCGCACTTTGAGACGCGTCGGCGTCGTCGCATCGTTTATACAGATCGGTTCGCAGTGCCCGAGGGGTGAGAGGCGTGCGAATCACTTCCGAATGACATGTGCGCAGCGCAGTGCGCAGGGCAACCATAAGCGGTTTGAAATTCCATTGTGGAATTTCAAACCGCTCATGGTTGCCCTGCGCCGGGTCGGGCGAGAACGTGGCGCGCTCGCTCGCTGGTCGATGTATCGCCGTCGTCGTCGTCGCGCACTTTGACGCGCGTCTGCTTCTCCGCATCGCTCATGCAGGTGCCCGAGTGACGCGTGCGCAGCGCAATATGCAGGGCGACCATACGCGGCTTGAAACTCCATTCGCTGCTGCGAAAGTTCGGCCAAAATGAAATGCAGCGCTCCCCGTTCGGCGAGGGGGCTCGGGTACAACGTTGTCAGTGGCGTTGCGCCCGCGACAATCGAGGAGACGTCAAGGGGGCCCGTTAGGCCGTGGGGCCCCAGTGCACTGTACTGTTCAAGTATTGTTTTGCGCAAGTCTCGGGCGGAACCGCCTTTCGAATTCAAGCCCAATGGCTTCGAAATCCATCCCAAATCGTTTTCGAAGGGAATTCTCGAGCGAAAACCGCACTTTCGAAATCTTTGCTTCGACATTTAATGTTTTAAATGCCAAACGGTATGGCCATTTCGAAACGACGCTTTCGCTTGAGAATTCCTCAACAAACAATATCGAACGATTTCGACATTTTCGGGTTCGATTTCGGCATCGCGCTCCCGCCAAAGAGTTCGTTCTCCGAAATAGAATTCGGAGCCTTCGGGTTCGATTTCGAAGTGATGCTCCCGCCCAGGACTTCCAAGCAACTGGATAGGGCTCCCAAACCACCCTATAGACATTCGAAACCTGTGTCGGGCTTCCCCCCGGCCACAGTCGAAAAACTACCAACTACCATCGTTTGCGCGGAGCGAGGGCTAGCCGCTGGCGGGCGCAGGGGATTGGGACCGCGCTGAGCCGTCAACGACGAGCACCGTCGCCAGGCGCCGTCGATCGTCGTTCTCGTCGTCGTCGATCGTCGTCTTTGTCGTCTTTGTCGTCTTTGTCGTCGTCGTCGTCGGCCCTTGCCCGTGGTGCCAAACCGAGGCTTGCCGTCGCCACGAGGGGCTAGTTCTCGACCTGCGGTGGCCGCTCGCGTCGAGCCTCGGCTGGCGCGCGTGGGCGGCAGCCCAGGTGAGCGGCGCAAAAATCAGGGTCGGCTGCGCCGACACTGGCGCGTAAGCTGCCCGCGTGTAAGGTGGCGCGTCAGCGCCCTCGTCTCCAATGCAGCGTGCCGCGGCGGCGGCACGCGTGAGCCGCCGCGCAAGGTCGCCGTGTCATCTCGCGTAAAATCGCAGGCCCAGAGGTTGACACCAACACCAATATCGGCGGTGTGCCTCCACCGATGGACGAGGATCCCGATCTCGGTGATGGTGGTAATTTTCTGGCTTCCAAGGTGACCGAACTATTACCACCAACACCGAAATCTAGGATTATCTTCCCCCTGTGGAGGCAACCCCCTGTGTTGGTGTTGGTGCCCATTTCCAGGCCTCCAATAAAACCCGTTTCTGATCGTCGCTCAGATGGGCTTCGCCGCTTGGTCACAGCGGCGTTCGCCGACGCCGCACTCGACCTTGGAGCCGTTCGGGGGTCGGAGGTGGCCCAGCATTGGCTCCTCCCATCAGGAAGGGCGGGCAGGCTCGAGCATCAGGGTTCGGGCATGTTTTTGCCTTTTCTGGCTTTCGGGAGCCGTGCCTGGGCCCTGGGACCGTAAACGTCGTATCCGGGGTGACAAGTTGCACCAGAGATCGGCCCCAAGAGGGGCCTGGGGACCCATTTTGTTCGGATTTGGTATCGCCCCCCCCTCTGACCAAGTTTCTGGGGTCCCAACCAGATCAGACAGACCCGAAGGCTGCCTCCAAACTCGATCATCGTTCTTGCTACTTGGTGCTGCGTCGCTGGTGCTCGTAGAAAGCCACAGCTTCTGCAATCGCAATCGTTCGACCCTACCCCGCCATGCTTTTTTGGGAAGGGGGGGATGGACGGACGGCCACGGCACTGGCGGCGGTAGTAAAGTCGTGAAGGACCAGCTGCTCAAAGGGAAGGGGATCACGTGTGGGTGCGATCTGTTCTCCTGTGGCTTGACTGTTAGTGCGATCGATCTTGCTATCGACACTTCTTCGTTGTACTGCTTCCTCGGCCCATGAAGGCGGATTTCCCGCACGCCCATTGTTACTGTACCTCTACATTGCATGGAGCATTCTCTCGGTGTCTACACGTCTACATTGCCCTTCGCGTGCACGGTCTATGCGAATCTACCTACAGGACTAAGAGCCATCACCTGGCGTGGGTTATTGCGTTCCTTCATGTAAGACTTCTGTGCCAGGCTTTCTGTGTTGCTGGTGTTTGCTTTGACTTCTGTGGAGCAGCGCATACACTTATGATGGCCTTTTGGCAGCCCTCGCAGGAACTATCACGCTCCAGGTGCACGCCAGATCGGAAGCGATTCCAGCGGCGTGTTCAGGCTTGCGCTTCTGCCTGTCTTCGTTGTTGATGTTTGAACCATTCCTACCCGCTTACTGCCCTTGTAGCCCCTTGTACCTCACCGCCTTTCGGCAATGCCCACACAATCTAACTGCCTGCGACAAGTCCCGCCACTATGCCAGCGCAGCATCGTAGAAGGGATCATGAGTTGACCTGCAAAGCCTTCCTGTGGGATCCCGCCCTGCACGAGGAGTCCCGGCAGCCAGTTCGTAGAAAAGCGAGCCAAACACGATGCGTCTACGATGATCGCACGCGTGCGGACCCGTTCTTGGGCATTGCCGCCGAGGCGGATGCGTGGATCGATTTGGCCAGAACACCAGCCTGGAAAGAGCTGGAGCGTAGTCTTCTACGTCAGAAGCGACCATGCTTCAGGAGGGGAAAAAACACACAGACACAATCAATCGTCGATCCCCAAGAAAATGGGGATTATGGGAATTGGGCGGGAAGACAACAACCCAGAAACTAGAAGAAAAATTCAAAACGCTTCGCGTATCCCCACCAGCCTCCGTAGCCCCCTGGCTCAAGCCGCTCTGGCTCAAGCGGGCCTCAGCGGCTGGCCGGCCGTGGCTGGGCCACTGCCCCTCGGTCCTCGGCCCCCCCGCCCGCGGGGGCGTGCGAGGGGTTCGCCCCCCTCCGCGCACCCGCTCGCTCGGCCATGGAGTCGCGCTCGGCGCGGCGGCGGCGGCGGCGGCAGCGGCAGCGGCGCGCCGCCACCTGCTGCGCCGCCGCCGCGGCCGGCCCGGCCAGCCCGCTGCCGCCGCGGCCCGGCGCGTCCCCTGGCTGCCTCGGCGTGGCCAGCGGCGCGGCACGCTGCGGCCGCCGCGCCGCCGCGGCCGCGGCCGTGGCGGCGGCAGGCCGCGGCGAGGCCGCCGCGGCCGCCGGCGCCGTGGCGCGCGCTGCCGCCCTGGGGCCCGCCGCGGCGGCCGCGGCCGCCGCGGGTGCGGCGGCCGCGGCAGTAGCCGCCGCGGCCGCTGGTGCCGCCGCGCCTGCCGATGCGCCCTCCGCGGCCGCCGCTGCCACCGCCGCCGCCGCGGCCGCCTCTGGCGGGCTGCTGGCGGCGGCCGCCGCCGCTGGCCTCCCTGGTCGTGATGCTGGCGTGGACGTCCTGTACGGCCTCGGCGCCCTCTCCATGATTCCTGCGACGGACACGGACTCCCCGCCGCGCGCCTTCGAGAGCGAGTTGGGCGTGCAGGCGCCAGTGGGCTTCTGGGACCCCGCAGGCTCCCCGGCGCTGTTGATCCAGCCGCCCCGAGGCATGCCGGGGGTGATGGCGGCTGGGGAGGCGAGACGGTGCCTCGGGAGCCATCCGGTCGGGTGGCCCAGGTTGCCCTGATGGGCGCAAGACCTACCGACTATGTGTTCTATGATTGCACGCCTGCGGGGCAGACGACCTCATCTCCTTCTGTGAGTCAGCACACACCCGACATAATGCTCGGATCTTACAGTACGCCTGTATGGCTCATGCGGCGTCTCTACAGATAGATGCGAATTCACTTGGATTAATCATTGCAATTTTTGTTCTGCGTTGTTCCGCCGTTTATTGGAGGTCCTCTTTGGAGCCCCACCAGCTGCCTTGCTTCGTTGTGTACTTTGCCCTCGTGCCATTGGTGGCCGTCATGTCTGATACTATTCATGTTACATATCGTCGCTGCAGTATTCTGAGGCACATTGTGGCTGGATGGTTGGACAGCTCCTATGTCGTCAGGCGCTTGTTCTCCGCGTTCCCGTTTGCTGTGAAGCCGGCTCCCTCTAATTAGGATTGCCTCTTCTCCTATTTGGTCCCGTTGTATGATTCAGACGTTGCGTTATGGCTGTTTTCATCGGTTGTGGATAAGCGTGCGGTGCCTTTGCCGCTCTCGGTTGAGTCTTACGAGATGCGGATTGTCGACCTTACCGTGTTCATCGGCGTCGACGGGCATACGATGCTTTCGGGCATGCGCCAGGGCTCCAGGACGTTTTCACGAGGTTCACCATGGGTGGTAGCTGCTGGTGGCGCCGCTGCTGGATTATGTGGATTGCCGTGGGCTTCTTTGGTCTGCGGTTTGTGGGAGAACGCTGTCATGTATCTTTATGTAACCTACTGCCCACCCGGGAATCGCGTGGTGCAGGATCCCCCTGTGGGTGGTCACTCTGGTGGGTGCTCACAGGAGTTTGCCTTCTGGCTGCGAGCCAGATTGCATCTACAAGTACCGGTTTCTGGGACCCCGCAGGCTTCATGAAGGTCGGCGACGCCGCGGACTTCAAGAGGCGCCGCGAGACAGAGATCCAGCATGGGCGCGTGAGCATGCTCGCCACGATGGGGTACATCACGCCCGAGGTCGCTGGCAAGTTTCCTGGCGAGATCTCCCCGTCTCTCGGGGTGAAGTTCGAGGCTGAATGCCGAGATCGCGAACGGCCGCCTGGCCATGATGGCGATCATCGGGATGTTCTCCCCCTAAATGGGTCGGAGAGGACCGCTCCTGCGTGCTATGCTGATGTCATGGCACAGTAGTGTTACAGAGTACTACTTGCAGTCCTGCGGCTAATACTGTCATTCTTCTGGGCGGCGCTGCATCTCTGTGGGTGGAGGCGCTGTCCAGCTCCAGTGGCAGGCCCGCCCTGCGGCTGGGGTGAAACATAACCCACACGGGCAGACAGGACTACCTGGGTCCCCGTTCTCTGGTGTGCCGCCCCGGGCGGGCGCCCACATTCAGTGTAATTCAGATGTGATGTTGCAGAGGTGCAATCAGTGTTCTGGACGTAGGCGACTGGGACTCATTAGACGTTGCACGCATTGGTTCTCGCGCGCCTGACCCCTTGGACGGCGTCTGACCTTTTCTTCAACGCTCCGTGCGGCAAGTTGATGTCGAACCCGTCTTGGCACATGCCACTGGGGCTTCACCGTGAATGCGGACCCGGTGGAAGGGGGAGTGTCCCGTGCTACGGCGTCTCGATGAGCTTCGGCACCGCTTTGTACCTTGCTTCGAGCATGGCTCGTACCGTTTCGACCCTAGCTGATTGGCGGATGCTTCGGCCTAGTGGTGCTTACCTTGGCACGGAGGGGGGGCTAGTTGTACAGGAGCAGTTGGACGACGCGGTACGACTCGTCCGCGGATCACCAGTGTCTTTACCGACAGTGTTGGTATTTTGCTCACAGTGTGTATGGGGTGTTCTGCGCTTGATGAGGCGGACTTGTTCTCACCCTCGCGGGATTGATGGTTTGCCAGTTCTCGCAGTGACCTGGAGTTGGTGCCAGCGCTCGATATTCTGAGCAGCCCAAATGCGAGTCGCTGCATGTCTTTGCATTCCACGATTGACTGGGGAACAACACTCTGCGGCTGTTGAGTTCCGACTTGCTCTTGGCGGCTGTCTTCGACGATGTTCCAGGTTATGCGCCGCGGGCTGTGGGCCTGTTCCGCCAGGATGCGACCGGTTGAGACGATGCATGGTCCTCGCACATGTTACCACCTATGCATTTTTGTCATGTCGGGCGTGGCGCTCCCCCCGGGTAGTACGCCCCTTGGTCAGGGCAGACCCGGTGGGGAAACGGCGGAGGCGGGGGCGCGTGCCCCTCTTGGAAGGGGCTCCGCTTCTTTATAGACTGCCTACTGCTTCGCCCCCGACCTCCACGCCCACATCAGAGGCGACCTTTTTGTCTGCGAGGTGGACTCCGACGGGTTGTGCATTTGCTTAGCGGGATCATTTGTATGCGCGCTATTTGGCACGTTTTTCCCCACTCAAGGAGTACGACACCCACCTACTACCGGATGTTCTTCCAGGACGGCCTCGCGGGCAGCGCCTGGGGCGACTGGGCGCTGTGCACGGACTCCCCGCTGCTCGCCTTCGAAATCGAGCTGGGCGTGCAGGCGCTGGTGGGCTTCTGTACGACCCGTCGAGGGCTCCCGGCGACTGCGAGAACGGCGGCGTTCTGGGCGTGCCCAACGGCAGCACCTTGCCGGCCGGCGAGACCAAGTCCCGCAAGCTAAGCGCCGAGACCGCGAACGGAAGGCTGGCGATGATGGCGATCATCGGGATGGTCTACCAGGACGGCCTCTCGGGCAGCGCGTGGGGCGACTGGGCGCTGTACACAGACTCCCCGCTGCGCGCCTTCGAGAGCGAGCTGGGCGTGCAGGCGCCAGTGGGCTTCTGGGACCCCGCAGGCTTCACGAAGGACGGTGGCGCCGCGGCCTTCAAGAGGCGCCGCGAGACAGAGATCAAGCATGGGCGCGTGAGCATGCTCGCCACGATGGGCTACATCACGCCCGAGGCTGCTGGCAAGTTTCCTGGCCAGATCTCCCCGTCTCTCGGGGTGAAGTTCGAGGGCGCCCCGGGCGGGCTGGCGGCCCTCTCCAGGGTGCCAGGGCCCGGCTGGCTGCAGATTGCGGCGTGCTGCCTCTACTGCGAGTGGGGCCCGTTCGGGTACAACTCGGACCCTAACAGGAAGCCGGGCGAGCTCGGATGGAGGCCTATCGGTCTCTGCAGCACCGACGCCGCGGTCAGGCATCGCAGGTTGAATGCCGAGATCGCGAACGGCCGCCTGGCCATGATGGCGACCAGGCACGGCGGAACTACGAATATTGGCAACAGACGGGTAGAGGGTTTTGCGCGGTGTGTGTGTGTGTGTGTGTGTGTGTGTGTGTGTGTTGCGCGCGTTTGACACGTATGTATGTGCTTGTGTGTTTTGCGCGGCGTGGCACGTGTGCTAGGTTTGGTGCGTGCCGGGTTTCGGGTCTGCGGAGAGAAGTGCCGCGTCCAAGCATTGGGTATGGCGTTGGGGGGCGCGCCCGTAGTTCTCACCGGCCTACGCCCTGCTCCCGGGGCCGCGGTGCCGGGCGTGGCCTAGCCAGCTACGCCGGCACGTCCACAGACCGCCGAGTCGGACGGGAGCACTGTTGGGCGGGAGCTGCGCGCTTCTTTGCTTCCCGTCGGGAGCTCTTTCGCGTCTCGGTTGCTGCGCTGCGCGGTACGGCGCCTCTCCAGGCCCGTGAGTGCCCAAACCGCCCGGTTGGGCCGGGGGCAGCGCCTCTTGGGCGCTCGAGGGTGCTTGGGGTGCAGTGCCGATTGACACGTGGGCCAGCGCTCGAGGGCGGCCAACCCCAGGACGGGGGGCCCCCAGGTTCCCCTCGGCCTGAGTGGCCTCCGCAGTCGCCCCCATGGTGTAGTGCGTGGCCGGGGCGGAGTGGAATGGAGACCCCCTGCTCTGGCACTTGGCTGCGGCTCCCTCATTTGTTTCACACCGCGACGTGTCGCTTCGAACTTGCGCGGGGGCGGGAGGGCACGACTCGCTGCCATGTGCGTGCGGGGGCGGTTGGATTCCTTGGAATCTTCCCCCGTGCGCCGGGTAGCGTAAGGCTGGCTGCCGCCTGATCACCGGGGGCTGGCAGACTCTGGTTCTGTCTTCGCGCGGGTCTTCTGGGCCGATCCTAAGGTGTCTCTCCGTGGTGCCGCGCTGATGCAAATCGACCCTTTTCGGGTATCGTGCCGTCTGGATTGGGGTGTGGGGGGGGGGGATGGGGGGCGGGCGGGGAGGTCCAGGGGCATTCGTGGTCGGGGGCGGCAGATGCCGGAGTGGTCATTTGGGGAGTACGCGTGTTTCGCCTGTCGGTCGGGTCGTCGTCGCCCTCCGGGGTCACCCTTTTGCGCTGGGAGGTGGCCTTGCACCGCCTCCTCGGGTGGGGGGTCTTGCACCCCTGGTGGCGAGGGGCCTTGCACCCTTTTCCTGACCGACAGGCGGGGAGGGCGCACGTCGCGGGAAGGTTTGCCGGGCGGGCTAGAATTCACAACGGCACGTGCCTTGTTGGGGTTCCGCTCACACTCCATCAGCTTAGATACAGTCCTAAGGGCGTTCCGGGTTGAAGGTCGTATAGGCGCTCCATTCTGAAGGCGGTGAGTGTGTGTGTGTGTGTGTGGAACTGTCGGCGCACAGTGCGTGTCGTGCGCTTCTGAAGGTGTGCATGCGAAGCTGTCTTGAGTGCCAATATTCGATTTCTTGCTGGTGCCTCAATCATCGGCATGTTCTTCCAGGACGGGCGTCGCAAGGTCCGATATTCCGATGAGGCGCCTTCATGGTGCGGTCCTTGACCCTGGTGCACCCGGTATGGGGCTCCGGTTACCAAGGGGAGCTCTCCGCCTCGTCACTCCTGGTCTTCTCTCCCTCCCTCACCTCTTCTGCTCTGGGGGCTTTCGGGGTGGGGTCCGTCGCGGTGGGGCGAGGGGTCGGGCTCCCCATCGTGCCTCTCCCGGCACGGGGTCCCCGCCCCCGCCTCGTCGCGGCGCACTTCACCCCTCCGGGGTTGGGGTCCGGGGTCCGTGTTCTGCTGGGGAGACGAAGGGCGGCCTTTAGGCCTACATTCCCTTCCGCCAGTACCAGTGCCATGATGGCGACCAGCGCCATCTCCGAAGTCCCCGCGGCAGGCTTGGGGCACATCGTGGCCTACTGTGCGCTTTGCGAGCTGTTCCAGGACCAGTCTGCTGGCACCGATGTCTCGGTGGGCGACTTCGACTGGGAGGTGCTGACGGCCAGCGTCGCCGCGGCGAGGCGGTCGAAGCTGGCGGCTAAGATTGCCAACTTTCGTCTGGCCATCACGGCGGTCACCGGCATTCTCTTCCAGGATTTGGAGGGCGTCCCTCCTCCTCCCTTTACCTCCCCCGTCACGGACCAGGAACTCAGAATTTCGAGGCGGCTCCAGCCGTGGTGACCAGGGCGACTGACGACCGTCCGGAGGATTCTGCCACGGCTGAAATGGGGCCCGTTAGGCCAGAGGGGAGCGCGGTTTCG